CGCCACTTCAGGAATGAAGTAAAATGATGATTCTTAATACCAAATCCAAATGGTTAAGATAAAGCTAATGACAATGATAATAAGGTGGGGTCTTGACATTACCTTCATTTCTCATGCCAAATAAAATCATAAGATGAACGATATTAATATAATAATCACAAAACTTACAAAAGATTAAAATAGAACTAGAGTTTGTTTAGCTACAAGTAGGAACTAGTAAATACTACAAATTTATATTTAACAAATCTAAGGGGTATTAAATTCTAAAATTTGTTTGCTACGACTAATTTTAAATCCAACTAAATCATGGTCAACTATGTGATGTCGCATCAGCAAATGCACTTTAAACCCTTAAATCTGAGCATGCACTGGATTTAAAATGAGAAATTCTTACTGAAAGATTTAGCTACGAAAAGACAAACACCAATTGGCAAGATTTAACCAAAATTCTTACAAAATATAGTATAAAACTTACAAACAAGAAGCCTCTTAATCTAATCTAGAGCCATACATGAGAATTCTAACCGACATAACAAAAAAAAATCAACCAGCTTCATTCTTAAATCTCCCAATGCAGAATTTTTGAATCTAAAGCAAAATTAACTTCTTGCTTCTAAATGAAATGCTGGATGAAAAATAGCTGACCTGGTGGTATTGAGGCAAAGAATACAACCCATTCGAAGATCCGGCAAAGGATGGAGGAAACGCTGGAGGCACAGGTGGAATCCTAACCGGAGGTGCAACCGTCGAGGGAGGTAAGTATGAGGGCTGATTAGCTGTAGGATCTGCGTTCTGGAGATGGAATGGAAGTGGGAAGTAGGAGCTTCCGAGGAAAGAATACTGTGATGAGGCCGACTGGCTTGTATTTGAGCCAGATGCCGATTCCGACGACATTATGGAACTGAGAAAAAATACCTGGAGCGGTGGTTGCGGAGTACCAAAAACACTAAGCCCGAAGAGGCTGTTTGTTAGCAGGATTTGAGCGGGATTTAAGCAGGAATTAACCTAAATCCTGCCAAACAGCAAATAATGATATCTGTATATCCTACAGGTTTTTAAATCCAGTATTTTCTCCGTATTGCCTTAAATCCAGGATTTAGTAAATCCAACAAATTTACGAGATTCATAGATGCTTAAGCGCGCGAAGACGGGTGGGAGGAAGGAAGAGAAAGACGAGGGTTACCTTTCTCAAATACGGGAGGAGGAAAAATATAGACTTTCGGTGGTCTTTGCACGACGGCACCCTTCCCACGCTGCTCTAATCGCGACCGTATCGCGAGAGCTCGATGACGAAGACGATGGCTTTGTGCGAAACAGGAGGGAAAGA